GAAATGGCAGATGACAAGATCACCAGAAGATAAAATATATTAAATAGGGCTACCCAAAGACTGAGAAGAGAAATTCTAAATCACAAAGAAGAATCCTTCAACAGATACCTAGTAGGGCTAACAGATGATAAAGAAACTGATTATTCACTCTGGAAGGCAACTAAAAAGATGAAAAATTCGTATAAACACTGTCCTCCTATCAGAATAGCAGATAACAAATGGGCAAGAGACAAAAGACAAAAGACGTTCCAATTAGATGAAAATCAAGACACTCCTAATGAGACCATCCATAATATCGAACAACTTGAAATTAAGCTAGTTACTCCCAATGAAGTTACGAAAGAAATTCAGACAAACATCAACTCACAGAAAGACCCAGGATATGACCTTACTACTGGAGAAATATTAAAGAAACTACCGCGGAAGGCTATTGTTAAATTGACATACCTCATAAATGCAGCATTTCGCCTTAAATATATTCCTGATGCGTGGAAAATGGCTGAAGTTATCCTAATTCCTAAGCCAGGAAAACCTCTGAATAAAGTGTCGTCATATAGACCTATATCATTGTTACCGATAATATCTAAGTTATTTGAAAAACTGTTACTAAAACGACTAAAACCAATAATTGAAAATAAAAATCTGATCCCTTCGCACCAATTTGGTTTTAGAAACAAATACTCGACAATAGATCAAGTACACAGGATAGCCGATATCATTGAAAAAGCTTACGAAGAAAAATATATATGCTCAGCTATATTTCTTGACGTAGCCCAAGCATTTGACAAGGTCTGGCACGCTGGCCTAATACAGAAACTTGAAAAAATGCTCCCTAGACAATATGTCGACATTCTACAATCATATTTAACGGGAAGAATGTTTAGAGTAAAGCAAGACGAGGCATACTCCGAAATAAAAGAAATTAAAGCAGGTGTCCCACAAGGCAGTGTGCTAGGACCGGTTCTTTATTTATTATACACCAGCGATATCCCTCAACAACAATCTGTTAAAATAGCAACATTTGCAGATGACACTGCAATATTGGCAGTTGGCGGAACTAATACAGAGACCTCAGAAAAACTTCAGGAAACCTGCAACAGAATTAATCGATGGACAAAAAAATGGAAAATAAAAATAAATCAAACTAAATCAGTGCATGTTGATTTTACTCTTCAACCAAATGAACAAAAACAAATAAGAATAAACAATGACGTTATTCCGCATCACGATTCGGCCAAATACCTAGGGATGAACCTAGATGTAAAACTTAAATGGAAAGAGCACATAAAAAAAAGCGTAAAGAACTTGAACTTAAATTCAAAAAAATGTATTGGCTCCTAGGAAGAAAATCCAAATTGACAGTGCACAACAAACTGCTGATTTATAAACAAATCCTAAAACCAATCTGGATTTATGGCATACAGCTATGGGGATGTGCCAGCAAGAGTGATATCAACATGATTCAAGTTTTTCAAAATAAAGTCCTAAGATGTATTGTTGATGCACCTTGGTTCTACCGAAACGATTATCTTCATAGAGACCTGAAGATGCCAACAATCGAAGAAGAAATAAAGAGGTTTGCTGCGAAACATGAGGGTCGACTCCACTCCCACGTCAACGAAGAAGCGCTGCAATTACTGGACAACTCTACACTCAACAGAAGGCTCAAAAGGAAGAAGCCATTTGAGCTAATGCAGTGAACGTTAATGTTAGTGCTAGTGTAAAACAGTGTAATATACCTTCACGCCAACTTGTGATGCTTTCCTATAGAAACAATTAAAACAGCCCAATGGGGACTTCTTAGATAAGTAATTAGTTTGTAAGATTTTTAGATTAAAATTGTAGGTTAGTCAGTAATGACTAGTAGTAACAATACTCTAACAAAAAAAAAAAGTTACTCTAATATCACAAACATTACATTACTATTCAGGTACATTAACTAATCTTTGGTTAAAAAAATGAAAATCAGAAATTGCACAATAAATAATTAATTTACTTGGTATGAAAACTAATGCCTAATAAATTTTGAAAATAAACAAAAAACAAAACAAAAATTCTTCTTAAATCTTGGGAAATAAAACAAAAGTAACCATCGATATAAACTGAAACAGAAAAAAAATTAAACGCAGTAACTTCAAATCATTTTGTTTGTCTTTTTTGTCTTTTAGACATTGCCGCATCCCTCATACTATCATTATTATTAATGGTAGACAAGTTTTGACTAAATGAGAAAAGACATCTGTTTTATGTTCTTTACATGTAAACCATTCAAAATCAACATGGTCTGGCAAAAAAAGTTTAATTTTCTGAATTATGTTGTCAATATCATATTGACAATATGACCCAAAAGTGGTAAAATTGTATAAACAATTTCATGAATTTTTGAAAGGAATTCAATAACATTTCTGTGTACATAAATCAAACGTCTTTTATCATCATTTTCTTTAAAATAAGTAAAAGTATGATGGTCTTCTAACATGTCTATTTGTAAATTAGCTTTACACTCTTTTTAGTCAAAACTATTAGGTTTTTTAACAACAAACCCTGCAACATAACTAGTGGCCTGACTCTTAAATTCTGTATCATTTAATAATTTTGTTTCAAAAAAGTTTAAATCTATATTGTCTAACTCATTACTGATATTACAAATTAATTCTTTCGGTTCTGTAGAAATGCCTAAAAATGAATTTAAATTATCTAATATGCTGGTTTCATCGGCTTCACAATTGGATTTATAATTTCTTCCTGAAATAAAACTATTTAAAATGGATGTTTTAAAAGCTGTTATAAATTGGTAACAATTTGGAGAAGTATTGGCAGCACCATACTGCCGAATTTCGCCAAACATATTTTCAACCGGATCTTGGTTTAAAGCACGCGTTCTAACATTCATTTATAAGTAGTTTGACACCCCTAATAGTAATTAACCAACCGGCCTTAAAAGGCATTACCTTCTTCATAGGTTTAACATTTTTTGGTAGAAATTGCCAAGATTCTATTTTTGGCAATATAGAATTCCAAAATTCTAGATGTTTAGATCTTCTTGAAGCACACTGCTTTTAAGAGATTTACCACCAACGACACTTGGATTATTACCATTAAGGCTGTCAAAGAGCTTATCAATGTCCTCAATAAATTCAGCAGTATAGATAGCTTCAGATGGTAATTTATTAGGTACTATTAGACTTTCGATGGCAGCAGCCATGGTGTGGCTCATTACTTTTGCTGCAGCTGAAACCTTTATTTTTAACTTACTATTTCTATTAATATCCAAAAAAGATTCTCTAACTTTATGTAATGCTTGAATTTGTTTAGTTTTATCAAGATAAGCTTGCTTAATATAATTAAATTTAGCACATTTAGAAATATTAGTAAAATAAATATCATAATTAAACAAGGTATTTCTAGTACATTTCAAAAGATGGGGAGGATCGTACAAGGTAATTATCCTTTTTCCATTGACAAAAAAGTAAGTACCAGGTTTTTTAATATTATTTTCTGCTCGTAATTGTTTTAGTGCAGTACGATTCGTATTCCCCAGATAGCAAACAGTTGCCATTACATTTAATCCTACTTTTTGTAACTCTAATATTACTTCTACAATAATGATTTTCAAATCGTTAGTTTTAAACTGATCTTTAGTGAAATAATAAGCCACTGGCTGCTTCCAAGCCTTTCGTAAGCCATTTATTACAAATGCCAATGCGTGGTCCGCTGTTTGTAATTTTCTTCCTAAATTGTTACCAAGGTCTACGAACCCTACAACTATATCCAAAGTCAGTTGTTTTGTAAGAGCTATTTCGTCAAATAATAAGACACATTTCTATTAATTTGCTTCATTTTAGCAACCCTTTCTTCAAGCCTGTTAAAAATTGATTTATTAATGCCCGTTTCAAATGAAACAGATCTCAAAAGTGACTGTAAAGTGGATTTACTAGGTAATGTGACGAAACGTTTTAAAAAATTATAAGCTCGTGGGCCCTTCTTGTATAAAGCTAATGACAAGACTTTATCTGATGTTGTCCAAGAAGGTTTCATCTTTTTTGAATTAGATGTAGTGCTGTTTAAAAATCTCATGCCTGTAGGAACGAGATTCGAATGAAATTGTTGAAATATCTTTGATTCTGAAATTTTGACTGCATTGAAAAAAACGTTCTTATTATTGTTGTTTATTTATTTTAAATATATTTAAATTATGCAAATTTCCAAAGAAACAACAAAATAATATATTTTTTTCGACCTCGAGTTTTCGACGGATTTTTACGTTTTGAGGTCTCTATAATTTTTATTCTATACATAATTTCTCTAAAATTTGAAGATTTTGAAGAAAACTCAAAAACGGATAAAGAAAAAAACATTAAATTATAAACTTAAGGTTTATTTCGGCCTGACGTGAAATTATTAGATTTTGGACATAGTCGGAACATCTGGGGGGGTACTTTATGGGAGGCTACTTTTATATTTTACGGAATATATCTGTTATTAATGTTTGGAGAAAAAAAATGTTCAAATAAAAGTTACTTCTAATATTATTATCTATAATTTTTGTTTTTTGTAAAAATTTCCTGAAATGATCCGTATTCGAGAAATTTGACAAAATGTGCAAAATTCTGATTTTTATGAAAGTTTTTGAAATAAAAGTTGTTTGCGATATCGATCTCTATAATTTTTGTTTATACATGATTTTTCTAAAATGGACCGTAATGAAAATATTGTAGGAAATTTAAATTTTTCAGTATTTTCGTTTTCCATGAATATCTATAGAAAAATGTTTCGAGGTAGATGTATGTGGACGATGTATATATTTAGTTTATTCTCTAAACATTTATAGAGATGCTGCAATAGGTTGTACAAAATAACCGGAAAAAGCCTATAATAACTAGATAGGAAAGTCATGTGCTGGACACACCAGATTTTTTTTTATGTTATTACCCTTTATAACCTGTAAATAACTCCTTTTTGTAAATAACTTGATTGACTGTAGTAACATCTGTTTTCAGCTTTTTGTCAAGACTAACACTTCCTCGTTATAAACCTTCACAAGAAGATGAGCAAAATAAGGAACAAAATGAAAAAAGAAAGACACCCAGCATTACATCCGTTAATAACTTTGAAGTTTCAAGTATAAATGAACGACGGTCTAGTAAAGTTATGATGGTAGATGTGGATATGAGGAAGCTATCTCAAACTCCTTCGCTTTATTAAATTTAATAAAATAATGTATTTGTAAAAATGTAATCTTCTGTATAAATAGGTTTTTATATGCTGTGTGTCCTTTTTTCCATCAATTTGATGGAATCTTTATTTTACCGGTGCGATCTTAAATCTTTAGTATTTGTCATACAAATCAATGACGTTGGTCTTTCGTCAAAGCACTACCAACTATTTCCAATGTCCCTAATTAAGCTAATAATTCGAAAATGTCACGAATATTAACGAGCATTTATAAACGTAGTCATATTACTAAAAAAATCGAATTAAATGATTGTAATTATTTTGATAATCTTAGAATTATTTCAATTAATTTGCTTATACACGTCTTATTCTTGATAATATAAAAAATATACTTTACATTAAATTATTTTGACATTCGGTACGCTCATAAAACTCGTATTTATAAAAAAAGAAATGTCATTATGGCCATTGATATGCCTTGTTGGGGTGATGCCAATATTATTTTAATAAATTTCACTGATTTAGGTTAGGTTTTAGGTTATGTTTACTAGTTGATTTTTAAAACAGTGTGAGGGATAGCTAATTATTTGTTTTTTATTTCTACATACAAAACGCCACAAAACTAAATAGTCGTAAGAAGCTTCGTTAATATAGTATTTTCATGGTATGCCTAAGCCATCTCTGTACAGTTTGACCTTGTTGGAATTATCAGAAATTTTTGTCTGACGAATTATGAAAGTTACTGGTACACAAGTTCCGATTTTGGTCTCTTTCTTGATGGTAATTGGGTGATCATTAACGTTTATAAGACGGACTGAAATTATTTTAGCAGTCGTAACCAACCCCTTTCCAATCAGAATACCACGTCCAACCTCTTCATCTGGTTCCAAGGTTTCATCATGACAGGTGTTCTTTCTTCCATAGTTTCTTAAAGCCGTGTTACTATAATGGTTTCGCTTTTGTCCTGTAAAGCAACTGGCACGGTACTGTCCCCATTTGAATATAGAAATACCTCTTTGGCACCAACTTTGATCACTCTATTCTTACCGTCTATCTGAAAACCATCTAAGTTCAAAGTTCATTAAATTTATTCCAAGTATAACATCTTCCTCAATATCAGCGACAAAAGCAGTATGAGTGAACTTTTCAGTAACAATTCCCAAATGAACCTGGATTTCCCCATGGATGTCGGCACTTTCACCTCAGTCCGCAGTCGCAATCTTGTTGGTAGAAACCTCTTAGGGTTATTTATGGTTGTTGGTCATATGACTGTCCTAGGTGGTCCAGTTACCACCGACAGTGTATAGTTTTAACCATTTACTCCGTCTACGTATACACTATTATTGCGACATTTCAAAGAGGCTATCAGTATGAAAGGGCATGTTATCTTCATTTGTTAGGACCCTAGGGCATTTGCACGAACTGCGTACATGTCCGAGTTTACCGCAATTCCAACACCTCATAGTCTTTGTCTTCATCTTTGTATCAGTAAGGCTCTTCATCATGTTAACCAATTGGTAGAGTTTATCATCCCCTTCTTCCTCTTTTGCAGTCCTCACTTTACTGTATATACCAGAATAAAGCATAGCTGCCTCATACTCTAGAGCAGCGGACAAGATATCGAGTCCATTAACAAATGTATGGACTGCCAAACATTCCATCATGTTTTCCGGAGCTGATGGGTAAGCTAATCGCACCAATATTCTTATTCTTGAAGGGTCTCATCTCGTTTCTGTTTGCGATTCTTTAACTGTGACTGGTATAAATGCTCCAAGTGTTTGTGGCAATATCGCGTGTTTAGACTCTTTTTGTGTGTTTCAAAATCATCTGTCTCTTCCATAGGTATTGTCTGAAGAACATCTAAAGCATCTCCTCGAAGGGCAAAGGTCAAATTTACTGCATTCTCTCATTCAGACCATTCGTTTGCTCTGGCAGCTTTTTCGAACTGTTTAAGGTAGTTGGTCCATGACATCTTCTTGTCGAAAGTTTAACACGAGCAGAATTTATAGCTCCTTCCAATTTCAACTTTGACTCCACCTAATGGCACTTTATTTTACCGTCCTTAGTCGGTTCTGTATGTTCCAATTCTTCTATCTTCTTTTCCATCTGTTTTATTTTCTCCTCAACGGAAGACATTATTTTCTCCTCATCTTATATTCTATACCTTCCTAAAAAACAGCAGTTATTGTAAAATGCACTAATTATAGAAGAAATAGCTAAAATATAACATTAATATAAACTGACCTATGCTTTTAACAAATATTTTTGATCACGTGAACACAAGAGTATGGATAAACGACCTACACAACAATACCACAGCAGACTTGTTATTAATGTTACAGGTGATGTATTATAAAAAATATGGATGTAATATAAATAAATATACCAATAAGCTTTTAATATAAATAAACCTATACGTATACCTATTATTTACTTCTATCTACTAGTTTATCGCCAACTGGAAATATGCGTGTAAGGTAAATTATACTTAAACGTATAATATACAATAACTAGTATCTACAAAATACGTTTAATTTATCCTTTAAAAAACGTCAAATTTAAAAATAGACAAGACAAAATTCAAACGGGAGTTATTAACGAAAAATACATATAAAAATAAACCTAAACCTATATTGAGACAGAGTGTCTACAAATGGTTCATCGCAATTTAAAAATAGTCATTTATTGTTAACTATTTTAAACGTAGAATAATTTACGTTTAAATATTTTATACCATAGAAGGTATAAAAAAACGTATAATATATCATTTACAAAATGTAAACTATAAACATATATGGAGTCAAAAAATACCAAATTAAAACGAGAATTACGTATAAAATACGTTAATTATACCAAAATGAGCTGCTTTGGCTAGTTTTCCTTCAGTTGTTTTTTTTTGTCTCAAACTAGTAGCTTCACGATAATTTTTGTCAGATTTCCAAATGTCATTTTTAATAAGGCTTGAAATTTTATCAAAACACGTCCGGCCGTATCTCAGATTATCTTAAAGTAATTTTTTTTTGACATGTCGATTATTTCAAGTGGGACACCTTTTTATAATATCGTCATATTTTAAATTACGAATTTTATTAAAAATTTTACGGTTAATATAAGCAAATATCGTTTTTGCTTTCATTCATCAGTTGACGCTGCTATCCCACACGGAACGAATATCTTCCATTACCTCTAGCAAAGCTCCAATCCTTTAAGTATCTCTCTGCCTGCTTTGGGCCTCTTACGGCCTCCACTTTTATAATTACCAAGAGTATTGCATAAAGTAGGTCCACGTCAAAAACTCCTTATTGTGATCCACCATTTATGACTTTTATAATTCGATAAATACGTTATTTCAGAAAGTTATCGAATTTACTAACTGATCTGGGTTTTTCTGAGAACAAGTTTAGCCTAGCAAGTTCTAGTGAATGCGCGAAAAATTCGGGAAACTCCAAAATGTTTATATATGTAAATTATTGTTCAAGTAAATTAGTATTTAAGATAAAAATCGGTGTTATATAAATTAAGTTGCAAAGTATATTAGTTGAAACAGTGAATATAATTTAAAATAAAATTTAAATAAACTGTCTAAAATACTTGAACGTTATAATATTCATTTATTCTTTCATTAAAAACTATTTTAATTGATGTAATATAAATAGCTGATCAAAAACAGACCAGAAAAATATATTTGAATAAACTATTATTTTGCTTATCAATTTTTTATATTGTTTTGGTATAATCGACTCACAAAGTATGTAAATGACTAAAAATAAAACATTATTTTCTATTTTTTTTTTTTATTTATTATATCTCTTACTACCATAGTTCTAACACTAGAAATAAATAATATTTAATAATGAATTTATACGTTTATGAGATAAGAAAATTAGTAGAATAATTAGAAAAATGATAAACAATAATTTCAATAATAAAAATTAATATACTAATAACATATCCGAATCCTAAAATAGTAAATGCTCCTGCAACATGGGTCCATTTTAATTTCACAACGTACTTTCTGTTTTTGACAGAAAATGTTTGTATTCCATTTTGAACACTTGAGTCCATATATAATAATGTGGCCTTAAATAAAAACAAAATATTAATTAAAAAACTATGCAACCTAAGCAAAAAAATTACAAAATTAAAACATGAAACAAACAAACAAACAAAGTTGTTCTTAAATGAAATGGGATTTTTTAGGTTTTGTAACACCCTACTATTACGGCAACCCAACATACACATGTGTATATAAAGTTGCCTACCTTTAGACATCATTCCAGATCGATATTGTGATCGAAAGAGACAGATGACAGTGTATACTTTACCGCGTTTTCGAGAACTCAGGTCAATTCTTGTGGTTCAAACAATCTTTCTAATATCTTGTGTATTTGCCTTTGATATTCATTTATTTTAACATATTTTCTTTGTCAAATGTAATGTTAGTTTGTAGTAAAGTTGTTAAGTGTGTAATATACGAATGCCACTAAGTTTTAACAGTTTTAATACGTTCCAAAAATAAGAAGGGCTCTCCGAACCTACGAAATATATATAGTATCCACCACCCTTGCTATTGGCGTCCCAACTGTGTGACCTTTTGCTTTGGATCGTGAAAAATTTCGTTACAGAACTGTGTGTTAGTGAATCTCGCATAAACAATTTGTAAAATCAACACTTCTTTCGTGTCTGAGTTTGATTTTACCGGTTTTTCGTTGTTTTAACCTTTGTTTGGACACTGTTTCAGTTCCTTTCGTTAGCCAAGTTACGTGGACACTGTTTTCTAGTTCCTCTCGACTCGTATTTTTCGCGTAAGTGCAATTTCTTTTTCGCAAACGTGAACAATTGTTAGAATCATGCCATGCCTAATGCCGAAGCTATTCAACAAGTGGTGATGACACCCCAAATGCTTCAAGATTTGATTGCAAATATACAAGGTACAAATCAAAATGAAGATCAACAAATAAATGTAAGTAACTGTTCTAATTTTTCTGCATGTAAACATCGTTTCTCGGGAAATACACACGAAGATGTTGACGCATTTATCGACGCGATAACCCCATAGAAAAATAAAAAGCGATAACCCTGTACAAAGAATATGTGAATATTTCGGACAATCATGCTTTAAAAGGACTTAGCCGAGGACTTAGCAGAGACAACTAATGAGACGGTTAACTCAATGCAATTTTGCTTTTCACCAAGAATTGACTGGGCGATTGGACTGGAAGATAAGGCCGATGGCGCTGGTATTGGCGATTCAAATTAATTTTCGCGCGCCTGTCATTTGTCATCTATAAGTAGGATGTTTGTTTATTTACATGTTTTTGTTTTGGACGGATTTTGTATTTGTGATTTTTTTAAGTGTTTTTAGATAATATTCTCATTGTAATAGTGTTTTTGAGTTTCATTTAGTGTTAATTTAAGTTTAAGTCTCGTGCTTTCGTCATAAATTTAATATTTATCATGTGTATGACTTAATTTGTTGGAAATATTTACCTATTGGTTACTACAAGAACATCTAGAAATATGTATTCACTAAACCCAGGACATGTTGTATTATGTGGTTTAAAGGACATTTCAGGTACCACACGTTTATTATTGATGAACTTATTTAAAAATCTTACTAGACTTATTCTTATATTATGAAGTGAATCACGTAGTACTTTGTATACATGTAAATGGTAATAAAACCGTCAAAAAATAAGATTTCAGTTTGATTCTAAACAAAGTTTCGTAAAATTTCAATATTGTGAATTTGTAGATATCCATTTATCGTAAAAAACAAAATTTTACGACTTGTACTTGGAAAATAATGAATCTTCAGTTTTGATTTTGACATTAACACCATATAGATTGCAATTTTCTGGGGACTTCGTCACAGATTTCATTTTTAATATAAACACTATCACATGCTATAAGAAAAAAACAAATTTAAAGCTAAAGAGTAAAAAAAAACTATTTGTAATTGATACAAATTAAAATGTAAACAATGAAAATGAACGCCAATGTTGCCAAATGATGAACTGATTTTAAAACAAAACTAATAAATGAACTGAAATTTAAAAAAAATCAATATAATAAATCGGTTTTATAAAAAAATCCTTAAATAAATATAGATTATCATAACATACACAAATTTTGATTCTTAAATAAAAGGTTTTATCCACTTCTTCCAGAGCTAAAATCCGACGACGTAGCGAAGTTTTGCTACTTCTGGCAACACTGAACGATATCCTACTTATTCGGACCTTCTACAAATTTCCTCCAGAGGGCGTATCACTTAGCTTGAATCGCGAATACCTTGTTTTAATAGTGGCCTTTTTCTTTATAAGCAACCAGTAAATTTATGTTTTTTTCTTAAAAAAAGAAAAACCGTGGGAAATTCAAATATGTAGATCCACTTTATCTATTATTTTTATGATTTTTTTCTGATTTGATGCACTGGAAATGTGAATAAATATGTAATTCACATTTACTAGCACATCAAATCAGAAAAAAAATCATTTTTTTTTAGGCACACAAAATAAAAAGCATTAAAAAGGAAAATAAAACGAAGTATGATTTCAATAATAAGGTATAGGTAGGTATATAGGTATTATACGCCGACACTCGAACGGCGCATATAACTATTGAAATGTTATGAAGAGTTTCTAGACACTTGGAAACACACTATGCATAACAATTTTGGGTCCGCTAACACTTATTTAAAAAAAAAAAAAAATTACCTTAAAATCCTGAAAATCCTTAAAATTTGTTGTTGGGTCTCCATCATAAAACAAATGTGAAATAAACCATTTTCACTGATTTCTTTTCTTGTTGTAGAAACGGCTAAGACCATTCATAGAGCAATAAACCGTACCAAATTTTTTCATAAACGATCAAATTTTCTTATTTTTCATTTTAAGTTTGTTAGAAAAATAAATAAACATTAAATTATTTTTAATGACAATCGAGTAAGAAAACATATAAGTCAGGAAATAATTACATAGTGTCTGGCCAGCAGGTAAATTTGTATCTCGAAGTGAAAACATTTGGAGTAATCACAGACAACTGTCTTTTTATTTCATTTCATGATGATTGTACGTTAATTACGGCATGTCGATACTTATCTAATATTTAAAAAAAAAATTCAATTTGAGCTGGGTCCAGGCCGTTGGAGTTTATGCCGGTTGGTGTAGCCAGGTATGGTTTAAAAATTTTCTGGTGGCGGCGAAGCCGCCACCTTACAAGAAGTCATTCCTTCATTTTTTTATTGTATATTTTCTTATTAGATGCCCACGATACAAGACACGTTCGTTAAAAGTTAAGTTCGAGGTTCACTGGCCAGATGCTAATGAGGGTTGGTTAGGTTAGGTTTTTCAATTTGAGCTGTGTCCAGGCCGTTGGAGTTTATGCCGGTCGGCGTAGCCAGGTATGGTTTAAAAATTTTCTAGTGGCGGCGAAGCCGCCACCTTACAAGGAGTCGTTCCTTCATTTTTTTATTGTATATTTTCTTATTAATAGATGCCCACGATACAAGACACGTTCGTTAAAAGTTGGGATTGAGGTTCACTGGCCAGACGCTAATGAGGGTTGGTTAGGTTAGGGTTTTTCAATTTGAGCTGTGTCCAGGCCGTTGGAGTTTATGCCGGTCGGCGTAGCCAGGTATGGTTTAAATATTTTCTGGTGGCGGCGAAGCCGCCACCTTACAAGAAGTCGTTCCTTCATTTTCTTATTGTATATTTTCTTATTATTAGATGCCCACGATACAAGACACGTTTGTTAAATGTTGGGATCGAGGTTTACTGGCCAGACGCTAATGAGGGTTGGTTAGGTTCGGTTAGTTGAAGAGTTTTTAAAACTGTCGGGAAAATTGTATAATCCTTGCAATTTAGAAAATATCAATATTGACGTTGAAGAGTATTCTGCCGATGAGGGTGAGGAAGAAGATCTTGATATGGGTATTTTTTAAATTGTTAGTTTTATATAATTTTTCTAATACTGAAGTCAATTGGTTGGCCTGGTACAACGCAGGGCATAGGTAAAAATTACCATTGCTATGTAATACATAATTGATATGGCAACATTGTATTTCTTTTAGACACATGTCACACTGCCAATGTTAATTGTCATTGCGGTTATGAAAATTTGATCATTTTGACGAACTTTAACTTGGTCGTAAATTAAGAAAATAATACTGTTTACGAAAAAAATTGGATGGTTTATTGCATTATGGATGGTCTAGTGTTATTATTTAGCAGTTTCTATAACAAGAAATTAATCAAAATGATGTAGTTCAAATTTTTTCAACATCGAAATTGGAGGACACATTTTAATAGTTTTAAGGTAAGAAAAAAATATTTTATAGCGTTTGCAGGGCAAAAAAAGTATTTTGAAATGTGTTTCAGAAGGTATAAAATCGTTTAAAAAAAAAAAATAGCTCGTTCGACCGTCGGCGAATTTTTCCCGGAAATTAAACAAAATCCCGGCGTGATCCGGGCATTGTTAGTTCCTTCCGGTTTGTAAACAAACTTAAAACTACCTAATATGAAAACACCACGATAAAAATGTCATTCACCGGGGAAAGCACTACTAACAAATTTAAAAACTAATACTGAATGAGAAGCAACCAAAAAAATGAATTTACAAGTTAAATTGTAAAATATATATA